GCCTATTTTTGTCTGTTTTGTCAACTGAGCTATTCCAAATGACATTCAGAATAGACATATCATATAGGTGCTCAATGACTGTGGCTAGAATAAATTTAACATACAGAAAGAGAATGATACCTGATACATGAGTTTCCTAAGAAATGGGATCAAGAGTAGATGGAGATAAGAAGTAAGAAGAGATAAGATGGAGGGTGAACATTAATGATTTGGTAGTGGGAAGTTAAATAAAATCCAATCTGATACCCTCATTTATCTTCATAAAATAAGAGGTGATATTGTAAGAGTTGGGAGATGGAGTGGGATTGGAGACTGAAGATCAAAGTCAAGAATCTTTGGGAGAAGTGGAAAGTTAATTTACTGAAAACACATTGCAGGACAGCAGTATTATAGCCATTTTTTGTAACCCAACTGAGCTTACGACCATAAATGTATGGTGGTATCATATGTCCTCTTGTGTGATTTTTGTCCAGCAAGGCACAGCTGTTGGGGAGCAGATAAGAAGTCCTACTGCTTTCTTAAAGGCCACTGCTGCAGGCAGTGTTAGGTCCTCCCTCCAATAGGCTACCTGAACATAAATCTTTCTTGTGGCTGTAACACATTGCACTGTAATGCCTTACTTATGTGTCTCTTCCTCAAGATTTTGGCTGGAAAAATCTGACTTTTTCATCATTAGGTTTTCAATATTCCAGTGTGGGGCCAAGGCCCCAAATAAGTATTCACTAGATCTTTATCATAATCACTACTGATGCTAAAATTTCTCTATTTGATTTGCAGCATTTTTCAGTATTATAGCTTTTTTTCCATTCATAAGTGGATTTAAATTTAGACATGTTAAAGTTTGCTTCAGATTATAAGGGTAATAAGTGATATATCATGGACTAGAATTATGCTCCTTTTGTCAATGTTGAGTCTTTTGCTATGTTACTCTTACATTATCTATGACTCCTGAAAGATCAGACATGACTGAGTCTGCATTCACATATAAAAATTCCTTCACATCCTTGTTGGGATATTGTTTGGTTTTAGACTATGTGCTTCTATACTACATTACACATTCTGAGCAAAACTTACCTTTCTGACAGAGTTGTTAAACCTGACTAAAGGATAATTCTTCTTAGTGGAGAAAGAAATCATGTCATTACTTTTAGCCTAAACACTGTATATTTCCAATGATATGTGCCATTTTCCTTTAATCAAAAAAGTGTCCTGGGCCATGGCTCTGACGGGGCACTAAAAATAGTATAGAATGCTTTGATTTGAATTATGTAATTTTTTTATCCCAATCCTAGAATTTTCTAATCTTTTTGTCAAAAGAGAGCAGTTTCTGCAGTATGTATATCTGCTTAAAAACCTTTACTAATAGAGAAATACAAATCAAAACCACATTGAGATACCATCTCACGCCAGTTAGAATGGCGATCATTAAAAAATCTGGAAACAACAGATGCTGGAGAGGATGTGGAGAAATAGGAACACTTTTACACTGTTGGTGGGAGTGTAAATTAGTTCAACCATTGTGGGAGACAGTGTGGCGATTCCTCAAGGACCTAGAAATAGAAATTCCATTTGACCCAGCAATCCCATTACTGGGTATATATCCAAAGGATTATAAATTGTTCTACTATAAGGACACATGCACACGAATGTTCATTGCGGCACTGTTTACAATAGCAAAGACCTGGAACCAACCCAAATGCCTATCGATGATAGACTGGACAGGGAAAATGTGGCACATATACACCATGGAATATTATGCAGCCATCAAAAACGATGAGTTTGTGTCCTTTGTGGGGACATGGATGAACCTGGAAATGATCATTCTCAGCAAACTGACACAAGAGCAGAAAATCAAACACCGCATGTTCTCACTCATAGGCGGGTGTTGAACAATGAGAACACATGGACACAGGGAGGGGAGCACTACACACTGGGGTCTGTTGGGGGGAAATAGGGGAAGGACAGCGGGGGGTGGGGAGTTGGGGAGAGATAGCATGGGGAGAAATGCCAGATATAGGTGATGGGAAGGAAGGCAGCAAATCACACTGCCACGTGTGTACCTATTCAACAATCTTGCATGTTCTTCACATGTACCCCAAAACCTAAAATGCAATAAAAAAAAGAAAAAAAAAACCTTTACTAATTACTAATGGATGATTATTGCTATTTTGAGATCTCACAAGGTTATTTTTTATCACGTTCTAACTACAATAAAATGATAAGTGAAATGATGGACATATTTATTAGCTTTATTGAATAATTCTATAATATATACAAATAACAAAACATTATTTTGTATTCCTTAAATACATATAATTATTATTTGTCAATAAAAAATGCTTTTTAATTTTAATTCAGCAGCTATGAGGGTCATTTATTACTATAACTTAACTGTCATAGATATTTGTAGCCTGACATTCACTTTCTGGTTTAGACCACCTGATTTTTTAGTTTTACATGTTATGGAGGGTGATAAGATGGGAGTATAAGGAGTTACTTTTCAATGAGTATAAAGTTACAGTTTTACAAGATGAGTACATTCCATAAATCTGCTGTATCACATTTGCTTAGAGGTAACAATAAGGTATTGTGCACTTAAAATTTTTTAGGAGGGTAGGTCTCATGTTAAGTGTTCTCAACACACACACATGTACACACACACACACAAGGCATATCAGGACACTTTTGGAAATGCTGGATATATTTATTGCCTTAATTGTGATGATGATAGCATGAATGTAGACATGTGTTCAAACTCATCAAATTGTATGTATTAATTATGTGCAATTTTTGCATATCAATTGTATCTCAGTAAAGGTAGAAAAGATAATAAATAAGCAAACACCATTCCAATGATCTAATGGCTCTGTATAAAACTTTATTTACTTATTTAAATATAGAGCGTTTAATAGTTTAATAGATATTTAAATAAAGTGTTATATAGAGCCACTATATCATTCAGTGTACAAATCATTTGTAATCTTGCTTGTATTCTATTTTTCTTGATAAATTGGATTTCCAAGTGAGCAAGTGAGTTATTTACCTTTATAACAGTACATTTTCTCTCTCCTTTTATTGTTATGAATTTACTTTTTATATTTTTTACTTTAATATTTAAAATATTTTTAAATGTTTACACAAAAAAGTAAAGAATATAATCCTAGAAGAAAACCTAGGAAATATCCTTCTCAACATAGCCTCTGCCAAATAATTTATGGCTAAGTTCCCAAAAGCAATTGCAACAAATGTCAAAAGAGACCAGTGTGACCTAATTGAACTAAATAACTTCAACACAGCAAAAGAAATTGCTAACAGAGTAAACAGACACCCTACAGAATAGGATAAAATATTTGCAAACTATGCATCTGACAAAGATCTAATATCCAGAATCTACAAGGAACTTAAACAAATCAATAAGCAAAAACCAAAAAAATCCAACTAAAAAATGGGCAAAGGACACGGATGGACAGGCACTTCTCTAAAGAATAGATACAGATGTCCAACAAAGATCCCCAAAAAATGCCCAACATCACTAATGAGAGAAATGATAATAACCAAAACCACAATGAGATATCATCTCATACCAGTCACAAATAGCTATTATTAAAAAGTCAACTACTTAAAGTATAATTAAAAAATTTTTTAATGTTTTAAAAAGTCAAAATACAAGAGATGCTGTCAAGGCTGCAGAGAAAAGAAAATGCTTATACAAACTAGTTCAGCACCTGTAGAAAGCAGTTTAGAGATTTCTCAAAGAAGTTAACACAGAACTACTATTTGACCCGGTATTTCCACTACTGGATATATACCCAAAGGAAAATAATTCATTCTATCAAAAAGACACATGCACCCACATGTTCATTGCAGTGCTGTTCACTATAGCAAAGACATGGAATCAACCTAAGTGTTCATCAACACTGTATCAAATAAAGAAAATCTTACGCATATAGACCATGGAATTCTATGCAGCCACAAAAATGAATGAGATGATGTCATTGCAGAAACATGGATGGAGCTGAATACATTTCATTACTTCCACCACAGAAGTAATGGCAGCACTTTCTTCATACTAGAAGAGACAATAACTGGATATGACTTTGCCTTTTTCTGAAAACAATACTTCTGTCAAAACTAGCATCCATAGATTTACAGAATGAGTTTTCCATTGGCATGGTATTCCACGCAGCATGCTATATTCAATCATCACCAGGTAACTCATTGATCACACTGGGAAATATATCATGTTCTGAACACAATAATGTAGTTTAGGCACTAGCTGTAGCCAGGTCTTTGATGAGTGGAATTCCATGTTGTTGAGTCCATGCATAGCCTTTATCTCTGTCACCATGGCCACTTTGTTCATGAGCCCATTGGGTAATAACCGGAGTGGATGAGCAAAGATGTTGATTGATAGTCACAGAATGGATCATCCTATTTGCATGATTATTAAAATTCTCTCCTGTTGAGGTAACTTTTGGTGAGCATTCACATGGAACACAGATATGATTTTTTGCTCATTCAGAGAGGTCTAGTCACATACCTCCTTCTCAGACGTTCTTCTTACCAATTTTCCAATCATGTTGTTTCCAAGTCCCAGACAATTTAGCCAAATCATTTACCACAGCCTAAAAATATGTAGACTCTATAAACTCTTACTTTTGGCCATTTCTCCTTCTAAGCAAAATGAACAACCAAATGCAATGCTTGAAGTTCTGCCCACTGGGATGATTTCTTTTTACCATTGTCTTTCAGGAATGTACCAGAAAGGGGTTGTATTTCTGCGCTTGGTAGATTTTTTGTATGGTTACTGCATATTGCAGAGAGCCAACTATAAACCAAGCTCAAGTTATCTCTTCCTCAGCCAGCTTGTCATAGAAAACTGGAGACCAGAGACCGGGGCGTCCAGGGAGCGGGGCCCGCGGGGCGCGGGAGAGGAACTTGGTCCCGGCGGTGGGCGTCTCCATCAGCGGGGGGCTCAGGAGGTGGCGACCCGGCTCCACGCGAGCAGGCAGATGAATGTCCGTGGGAATGATCTTCAAAAAGAATTTAAAATGGGATAGAGAAGTCATCTGCACTTGCGTCTGAACCAGAACTACCAGGCACGCCCATGTCAGCTGGTTACCGAAGCAGGCTGAGTGAGGAGTGCACCTGGGCTTCTGCCTTGCAACCACCGTGGCTACTTCAAAAGAATATTATTGCATTAACTTTCCCGCTTGTTCTTGAGGAGAAGCACTGGTATCAAAAATCGGATGGGGTGATACATGCTTTAGTCAGTATTTCCAAGGCTCCTTAATCACTTCACTGAACAAATAATTCATTGAGCACCTACCGTGTACCACGCAGCGTTCAAGGCACTTCCAGTAATTTCCTAAGGGCTACAGCTGCCCGTGGATAAACTTCAAAGTGTGTAAGCTCCTAAAACTTGTTCGTAATTATCTTCTGCACATTTTTGTCGTTTTGGGGAAGAGAGTTTATGGAGTTCATGCAATTCTCAGAATTATTTGATCCCTTTAGGAATGAGCTTCTCCAGCCTCTGCCTGCTCCTCTGGGACAATCTGCACCTGGGCGTGGGCACACTGCTTTGGGTCATTAGGTATCAGGAAGGCCATAGTTGGATGGAACACTTCCCCTGGACTCCTTTTAGTCTGGACTCCATGCTCATTCCTCAATTTCTTGATTCAGACTTTCGGCTGAGTTACTGTCCCAGTAATGACAATGCCTCCCATCATGCAGAGACTTAATTTGATAAAATGCATTCACATACAAAAAAAAAAAGAAAAGAAAACTGGAGGCCATATGCATGAGTTGAGAGAGAGAAGGTAATGTAGCAAAACTAAGGGCCAGGGCATTTGGCCCACTTCTTCATGTAAAGTATGCTTTCAAGGTCTGTTCAAGTGTAAACTTATAAACACCACTTCCATTTAATATTGAAATGCTGTTTTCCATGTCCAACCTCCTGCGTGGTGGGGCAAATAACGCTCAGTTAACAAATGGACAACCAGGTTACATAGTAACTTATTGGCCTATGGTTATGCATTCAGTGCCTACTAGGTCCAGTAGCAAGCCAAAAGCTCTTTCTCAAAAGAAGAGTAGTTACCCACAAAGTACGGCAAGAATTTGCTCCAAAATCCTAAGGCTTTTTGCTGTGATTTACCTATAACGGTCTGTCAAAGCTTAAATAAACAACTTGATCTTCCACTGACACTTCAAGCACTGTTCATCTGCTGTATCGTATAGCCCAACGTACAGAGCATTTTGCACGCATGGCCAACTGGGCCTTTTTTAGAGCCTTCCCTTGTTCTGGGTCCCACTCAGAACTAGAAGCTTTTGGGATCATTTGGTAAATAAGCTGGAACTACACCAAAGAAAAGAATATTTCTAAGAGGCCCAGTAAGCATTGTACCTTTTTAAAAAATCGTAGGAGAGGGCAGATACAACAGCTTTGTCTTAGTGTTCACCTTATAAGGGATAGCTCAACATTTCCCCACCTCCAGACTCTTGGATATTTTACTGTAGTAGATGGTACTTAAATTTTTGTTATCTTCAACCTCTGATATCAAAATATATTAATAAATATGTCTTGAGTAGTTGCTACATCCTGATAACCAGGCCCAATATACATAATATTATCAATGTATGGATCATCATGATTTCTTAGGGAAGGCAACGATGATCAAGGCTGTCATGAACTAAATTATAGCATTGGACTGAAGTCCCTGAGGTAGAACAGTGAAGGTATATTTCTGGCCTTGCCAGATGAAAGCAAACTGCTTATGTTGGTCTTTATTAACAGACATAGAAGAAGGAAGCATTTTTCAGACCAATAGCTGTGTATCAGGTACTAGGGGATATGTTAATTTTCACAAACAATAAGACCACATCTGAACAGTAGCTGCAACTGGAGTCACCATCTAGACAAGATTATAATAATCTGATGATACACTCCAATATCCATCAGTTTTCTGCACAAATGAAAGAACCAAGTTCAACAGAGAGATGGTAGGAACTACCACCCCTGCATATTTCAAGTCCTTGACGGCATCACTAATTCCTACAATCCCTCCAGAATGAGGTGTGGCTTTTGCTTTGCTATTTTTGTAGACAGAGGCAGATATAGTGGTTTCCACTTAGACTTTCCCACCGTAATAGCCCTCACTTGAAAGGTCAGGAGATCATTGTGAGAATTCTATCAATTGCTGAGTATGTGTATTTCAATTATGATTCATTCCAGAACTGGGAAAATAACCACAGGATGGATTGGAGACCCACTGGATCCACTGTGAGAAAGATGTGAGCTAAAACTCCATTGATCGCCTGATATCCATAAGCACCTACTCTTATTAGTGGATGTTTGAGTCTCCAGGATTTAATGTCACTTCAGAGTCACTGTCCAGTAATCCCCCCGATGGCTGATTATTTCTTTTTCACCAATGCACCTCAGTCTGGTATATGGCTGTAGGTCCCTTTGCAGAAGACTGAAAGATTAATGGTATAAATTTTTAGCAGTGTGGTAAAGGTCCTTCCTCAAGAGGACTCAATCTGTCCTTCATCCAAGGAGTTGTGCATCTATAAACTGGTTTAAATCTGGGGATTGGTTGAGGGGTTATGGCTGTCTTTGTTAGCGATTAAAGTAAAATTATTAAAGTAAAATTCTGTTCAGTTGATCTATAATTCCTTCACTTATACAGTCCAAGTAAAAATTTAGTAAACTTCCCATCTATTTCTTTTCTAGAGACATCATTATTAACCAGCCATGCTGTAAGTAATGGTGTCAGGCTACTATGATTACTGCTTTATCTCCTCTGTCCATTACAGCAACCACACTCACTTTATATGTGATGATTAAGTGCAATCACTTGATCAATGCCACCCTTGGATCCTGTTATTCCCACTGTATTTAGGATTCCCAGTTAGATGATAACAGCTTCCACTGCAATTTCTGACCTAAGGAGAAAAGACATCACAGAATTCTTCAAGGATACTGGATCTCCCCTCATAAATTTATTTCTCACAGTGGTGGTGAAAGGTATGTTCTCCTTGAGTGGGTAAGCAGGTGCTACGTGGTAAATACACTTCAACAGCTTAATCTCCCTAAGCCTTTGGACACCTTACTCTGCAATACACCAAAACAGTCCTGCCATCTCAGTTTTATTTAGTGTAGGCCACTTTTGGGTCCATGTTTCAGCCAACAAAGTAAATAAACTTAGAGCCCTTTCTAACCTCTTGGAGCTGAAACATCAAATTCAGCATGTTAGCTTAGCGCATCCATATTAATAAATTCCGCCAGATCAACTTTTTGTTCCTTCCACTATGATTCCACACCCTCAACTTCCATACCCACATATATTTCCCAGATTTCTGTCTGAATAATTGAAAAAATTGTGCCATTCTTTTGGTATATAGCACATCTCATGGAACATACTTTGTGTTCCACCCTTTAAGGGCTGCTATGACATGAGCCTACGTAACAGGTTTAGAAGCAAAGAGAGGTGGTGAGGGTTGGCCCTGAGGAAAATCAACAGTGCTTTGGTGCCTCAGGGGAGTACAAATTCTTAACACAGAGGAAGACTAAACTCCTCAGACAGGGACATAAGAGCTATTTCTCTGGTAAAGAAACAGCAGAACTCAGGAGTTCCATGTCACCAGAGGCATTGGTATCTGTCTATATGCCCCCATTCCAGTTTTTTTTTTAATTCAAGTTTTATTCTAAGTTCAGGGGTACATGTGCAGGATGTGCAGGTTTGTTATGTAGGTGTATGTGTGACATGGTGGTTTTCTGCATAAATCAACCCAACACCTAGTTATTAAGCCCAGCATCCATTAGCTATTCTTCCCGATGATCTCCCTCCCTCACCCTGCAACAGGATCCATTGTGTGTTGTTTCCCCTGCCCATGTGTCCATGTGTTCTCATCATTCAACTCCCATTTACAAGTGAAAAAAATTTGGTGTTTGGTTTTCTGTTCCTATATAAGTTTGCTGAAGATAACAGCTTCCAGCTCCATCTATGTCCCTGCAAAGGACATGACCTGCTTTTTATGACTGCATAATATTCCATAGTGTATATGTATCACATTTTCTTTATCAATTATATCATTGATGGACATTTGGATTGATTCCATGTCTTTGCTATTGCAGATAGTGTTGCAATAAACATATGCATGCATGTATATTTATAACAGAATGATTTATATTCCTTTGGGTATAAACCCAGTAATGGAATTGCTGGGTCAAATGAAATTTCTGCTTCTAGATCTCTGAGGAATCACCACACTACCTTCCACAATGGTTGAACTAATTTACACTCCCAACAACAGGGTAAAAGGGTCCCTTTTTCTCTGCAACCTCACCAGCATCTGATGTTTCTTGACTTTTTAATAATTGCCATTCTGACTTGCATGAGATGGTATCTCATTGTGATTTTGATTTGCATTTCTCTAATGATCAGTGATGTTGAGGTTTTTTTCATGTTTTGTTGGCCAAATAAATGTCTTCTTTTAAGAAGAGTCTGTTCATGTCCTTTGCCCACTTTTTGGTAGGCTTTTTATTACTGCCTAAACTTCAGAACTCGTTATTCAGGGATTCAATTTATTACTCATTCAGTCTTGGGGGGAGGTGGGGTAACCCCCCATACAGGCACTGAGGAATGAAAGCTAAGCAGAGCCCTGGCACAGTTAGGGCTTAAAGAATATCTCACTTTATAGTGTTACTACTCAGCTATTTCCTTTTATATAATCCTTTACATAATCATATATTAGTTTATAGAAATAGGGCTTGAAGTCTCCCTTTATATAATCCTCTATATATAATCATGTAATAGTTGATAGTATGAGTGCCTAAAGAATATTTCCCTACATATATACTTATAATTATATCTTAGTTCATAATCGGAAGAATGCCTAGAGTGGACACAATACACAGCATAAATTCAGGAATAAGCAGCTTATAATCGGAGGAATGCCTAGAGCAGACACAGTGCAAAGCATAATTTAAGGGAAAAACAGTTATACCAGGACAAGAATCCATAGCCCAGGCAGCAGTGTTCAGTATCATAAAGATACCCGCTGTATGGCAGGCTTGGG